TTTCCCTCATAGATCTATTACTAGGGAAATTAATACATGTATACACATGCATGCTAAGTCACTTTAGTTGCACCCAACTCTTTGAGACACTATGGACTCCTCTCTTCATTGAATTCTCCAGGGAAGAATACTGGAGCAGGTTGCATGCCCTCTTCCAGAGGATCTTTCCAACCCAGGGATGGAAACTGCATCTCATCTCTTATGTCTCCTTCATTGGCAGGCAAGTTCTTTATCCCCTGGGAAGCCCCACATATATAGTTATATAGGAGTGTTAACACTAGACTTGTTACAACAAGCCAAAATTCAAATACCCATCAATAAGAGGATGGTTAAAGATGGGATATACGCATGTAGCCAATTACTGAACCTAGGTCTCCCACGTTGCAGGCGGATTCTCTACCATCTGAGCCACCAGGGAAGCCCCTTGTATAAATGCAGCACAGATAAATTTCAATATTGCTTCCCTGGTGGCTCAGAGGTTAAAGCGTCTGCCTGCAATGTGGGAGACCTGGGTTCGATCCCTGGGTTGGGAAGATCCCCTGGAGAAGGAAATGGCAACCCACTCCAGTAATCGTGCCTGGAGAATCCCATGGACAGAGGAGCCTGGCGGGCTACAGTCCACAGGGTCACAAAGAGTCAGACATGACTAAACGACTTCAGTTTCAGTTTATGCTGAGTGAAAGACTGCTTATTTGAGACTGTTTATTGTGTGATTCCACTTATATGAAATTCAGAAACAGGGAAAATAAGCTTATAGCTGCAGTAAGTGGAAGTTGGAAGAGGTTGTTCAGCATTATAATGGGGATAGCCTAGGGTGTAGGGATATTTTGGGGGCATTTAAAATTTTCAGGGATCATTTTTGGTGTTGATAATGTTCTATATCTTGATTTAGGTATTAGGAACAAATGGCACATTTACTAAAGCATACCCGTTTTTACATTTTAGATCCATCTTTAACTATATATGAATTCCCCTCAATTCTACATGAGGAAGTAATAGAGGAAGAGAGCATGGGTAAATGTTATGAGAGGGAATATATTATTTTCTGTTATATTTTAATGCCTATGAAGTTGTGCCGAACATTATGCAAGAATGATGAGATAGCTCAGAAAACACTACCATTTAGACTGTTATTATTGTAACACATTACACTGCAAGAATTATGTGTTTGTCATATTAAAAGTCAATGTATGTATATCACTCAAAGATGAGGTTTTAATTTCAAATCTTCTAGTCACCAATTACAAGTTTTTGATCAAATGATAGAGTTTGTCTTAGATTTGTGTCCTCTGAATGTGGGGATAGTAATATCTGCACCATATAGTTCAAATGATATATGTTTACTCCAGGGCCTACTACTTATTTTACTGCAAATAAAAAAAAAATTAAAAAAAAAAACAGCTCTATGCAGTGATGATGATTCATTTACAATTTTATCACGACTTTTCAAACTGTTCCAGTTTTGCTGAAATAGAACTCATACAGTAATGTTTTTAATGTTATTTAAATCACTGACTCTGTGAGTAAGTACTTTATGGCATGTAGGTCTCCATGGAACTCTACAGATCATCTATGCTGCTTTCTTCCTTTCCTTAAATTATTCCTTACAATTTTTCCACTAGAGAATATGCAAAATATCCTGGAGAATTAGCAGGCACCACAGGCAATTTCTGTTTTAAATCTCTCAGATGATTTAAGTTCCTTGCTACTTCCTCAGGGACATTACAAAGAAAGAGGAAAGCATATATTCTCCCTACCCAAAGAAATATCAGGAGAATGTAAGAGCAGAAAATCCAGTTCTTCATAAAGGTGAGCATATAAAAAATATTGATTTTGATAACAACTCAGGTGTTGGTAATTTCCCTTGATTCTTAGATTCTGAGTAAGGACACTTTGAAGGTCACTGACTGCTTATTCTTTACACCACAAAAATTTCATTATTTCCTTTGATAAATGGTTTCCCTGGAATAAGATGATAGTTTGAAAGGCATTAATCATATAACTTGACTATATGTCATATATTGTTTGATTTGTGAAAGTCAAAAGTGGTATTTGGATATTGCAAGTGAAGAAGAAGTTACAGGTACCTGAAAATAATCATCACCAATTTAATCTAAGAGAATCCATTTATGTTAGGATTTCCAGATAAAATACAGGAAATTTAAATTCAAATCTCATATCAATAGCAAATACTTTTTAGTATTTGCTTAATATAATATTTGTTTTTTATAAATATACCCAATGTAATATTTGAAAAATAATAATTTAAACTATGTATTATTCATGAAACATTGTACATACCTAAAATAATTTTATTTATATTAAAACTGACTCTGAAGTTAAGTGAAGTGAAAGTTGTTCAGTCATGTCCAACTCTTTGTGACCTCATGGACTATACAGTCCATGGAGTTCTCCAGGACAGAATATTCTGGGTATAACAGAGTGGGTAGCTGTTCCCTCCTCCAGGGACCTTCCCAACGCAGGGATTGAACCCAAGTCTCCCACACTGCAGGGGAATTCTCTACCAGCTGAACCACCAAGGAAGCCCCCAAATAATTTTAATATATGGATACGCATATTCTTCAGTATGAAAATAACTCTCATGCATAAACTTTGATAATTTTTACTTGTCTGTTTTTCTTGCTGGTTTCTTAGCACTTCTTTGTTTGTTTTTCAGAAAAGATTTTACAAACTTAGTGATTATACTGGTAAAAAAGTATGATGATTTATTAAGAGTTATGAGAAAGTCATGAACCCCATATAACTCCTAACTGCTATCACCAAGACTGAAGGTTGAAAAAATCAGTCTTCCCACTGCATACTTTTTGTATTCTGTCTACTCTAAGTATTAGTCCTCAATGGAAGGATATAAAATGTTGCACTAGGACATTAAAAAATGACTAGAGATACTTTTTTCCCAAATAAGAAGAATCGGAAGGGTATCCCTATCTATTTAAGACACTGAAACAGTGTTTTTGGATAAATAACCAGAAGTTGTAAGTTGAATCACATGGGGAATTGCTAATCAACAAATATAGTTTCATTTACATAAGATTGAATAAGATACAGAGATCCACTGTACAATATAGTAACTCTAATTACCAATACTGTACAATTGACTCGTAAATCATTTAATGGGGCAGATCACATGCTATATATTCTTAAAGCAGAAAATTAAAATCAAAATTAAAAAAGAGTGGGCAAGGTAAAGAGATAATTACTGACACTGAAAACGGAGACACCATCAGGAAGTATTAGAATAATCCTAGCACAGCTGAAGACTTCAGAGTTGTAGGACTGATACTAGTAATCTGAATCCCTTTGCTTAATCCAATGTGTCTCTCTTTGTACAATGAAACCCATGACAACAGACGAGGCAACACCTGGTCCTTATCTCTGCGTGAGGAAGGAGCCTGAAAGCGGAGTGGGACTCAGTAGAGAAACAGCCATTTCCTTCTCCAGGGGATCTTCCAGGGATCGAAACTGGGTCTCCTGCATTGCACGCAGATTCTTTACCACCTGGGCCACCACAGAAGCCTAGAGAAACAGCAGATAGTACTATCTAGGAAAGAGGATTAGAACTGGCTCAGCAACCTTCACTATTGCCTTTCTTTCTCAACACCACTCCTTGGATTGGACTAGGTTCCTGGTTTGATAAATCAGAACCTCTACAGCATAAGAGAAAATAACAGCTAAGAATAAAAGGTTTATATTCTAGGTTGTGTGCTTTTAGTTCAACTGGTACTTTTGAATGTCAGTAGGGAAACAGAAAGATTGAGATGAAAATTTAGAGTTCAAAAAGGCTGGTCCAATGTGATATGAATAGAAAAAATGATATGTATCTGACTGTGGAATGCATTGAAAACAAGGCTAAAGCTTTTATCAGTTATTCTAAAAATATCTTAGATTACATGCTACCTAAAAGTTTTAATGACTATTATCTGCCTATCAGCTAATATGAATCACAACATGGAGACCAGAAGGATATAATAGTCTATGACAGTGTTAATACAAGCTTGATCTCAGGAGGTAGGTGAGGGGATGCTTAGGATGGAAAATATCATGAAAATTGACAAAAAAAAAAATACAATGTGGAACTCTGACAGAGAAAATTAGAGGATGGATACAATGTGCTTTACAGTGGTTTCTTTTTAACATTTTATTTTTTTCATTTAGGAAAACTATATGGGCTTCCCTCAAAGGTCAGTCGGTAGAGAATCTTCCTGCAATGCAGGAGACCTGGGTTCAATTCCTCGGTCGGGAAGATCCCCTGGAGAAGGAAATGGCAATCCACTCCAGTGTTCTTGTCTGGAAAATCCCATGGACAGAGGAGCCTGGGGGGCTACAATCCACGGGGTCCCAAGAGTCAAACACAACTTAGTGACTAAACCACCACATAAGCTGGAGTATACTAAATGTCAGCATAAGTAGAGGAGCTGATGTAGTTTGGAAACATGATTTCCGGAAACCCCACTCCAGGAATTGTCCTTGTCATCTAATGACAATCCAAGAAAATAATTACTTGGAAGTTTGTAACCACATTTTCTTTTCTTCCCCAAATAGATTAATTTCCAAACAGTTACATGGCTTATGGAAATTTCACCCGAGTCACTGAGTTTATTCTCACAGGAGTCTCAGAACGTCCAGACCTCCAGATCCCACTCTTCTTTGTCTTCCTGGTCATCTATGGACTGACCGTGACAGGCAACCTAAGCATCATCACCCTCACCAGTGTGGACTCTCGACTTCAGACCCCCATGTATTTCTTCCTCCGGCACTTGGCCATCATCAATCTTGGCAATTCAACTGTCATTGCTCCTAAAATGCTGATCAACTTCTTAGTAAAGAAACACACCACCTCCTACTATGAATGTGCCATTCAGCTCGGAGGGTTCTTGGTTTTCATCGTAGCTGAGGTGCTCATGTTAGCTGTGATGGCCTATGACCGCTATGTGGCCATTTGTAACCCTCTGCTCTACATGGCGGTGGTGTCTCGACAGGTCTGCTTTCTGCTAGTTTCCCTTACATACCTCTATAGCTTTTCCACATCGATTGTGACTTCCTTTTCTATATTCTCAATGGCTTATTGCTCTCTCAATGTAATCAATCATTTTTACTGTGATATTGCCCCTCTCTTAGCCCTGTCCTGCTCTGACACATCCTTCCCAGAAACAGTAGTATTCATATCTGCATCTACAAACTTGATGTTTTCCATAACTGTAGTTGTAGCATCTTATTTCAACATCATTTTGTCCATTCTAAGGATACGTTCATCAGAAGGAAGGAAAAGAGCCTTCTCCACATGTGCTTCACATATGACCGCTGTTTCAGTTTTCTATGGAACTCTGCTTTTCATGTATTTACAGCCTCGAAATAACCATTCATTAGAAACTGATAAAATGGCTTCAGTGTTTTATACGCTGGTGATTCCCATGCTGAACCCCATGATCTACAGCCTGAGGAACAAGGACGTGAAGGCTGCCTTGAAGAGATTTCTGACAAATTCGTGCTGTTGATGTCTTTTTGAACTCTATAGGTCAATGAAGAGATGCTTAAGATAGGCTGCCATTGTGTGGAGGAGACTCTTACAGCATTAGAAGCCAAAGGACATGGGTTATTTTCTCATTTTGTAATTTCTCTCTTGAGGAAGGGTCCTAGTTTGCACCATTCAAATAGAAATCTTGAATACAACCCAGGTTTTCTGATCTAAAGAATAAAAATGTTTGAGTCAATAGTCACAGAATTTGGGGGCTGAATTGAAGGGAAAAAAGAGCCAATGAAAGTCAGATCCTTAATCTTTGTTTGAATTTTCCAGTTCACTTATCCTGATGCAGGTGGCTGTGGGGGGCAATTCTAGTACCCCAAACATGCTAAAATATGAACTAGTATTTATGAAATCACCCATGAGGTAGAGTCTGTAGTTTAACACAAACCTTTTTAATTCTAAAAAAGAGAAAGAACAAATAAAATCAACTCACTTAAGAAGATGACAATATTCAGATATCTTCAGAGCAGAATGTCACTATATACAAAATAGACTCCAGATTTCCTAACACACCAGCATATTCAATGCAACAAAATTAGAGTAATGCTTGAAGTGACAGGGCTTCCCTGGTGGCTCAGATGGTAAAGAATCTGCCTGCAATGTGAGAGATCTGAGTTCGATCCCTGGGTTGGGAAGATCCCCTGGAGGAGGGCAGGGCAATCGACTCCAGTATTCTTTGAGCTTTCCTGGTGTCTCAGAGGTTAAAGCGTCTGCCTGTAATGCGGGAGACCCGGGTTTGATCTCTGGGTCAGGAAGACCCCCTGGAGAAGGAAATGGCAACCCTCTCCAGTCCTCTTGCCTGGAGAATCCCATGGACAGAAGAGCCTGGTTGCCTATAGTCCACGGGGTCTCAAAGCATGACTGAGCGACTTCACTTTCTTTTCTTTCTTTCTTTTGAAGTGATAACAGAGAGAGATTCTCAGTTTTCCTGCTTCCTTTCCTGTCTTCAGAATGTTCCTCTATGTGCCTCAGCTTGCAGTTTTATCAGTTTTATGGCCTCTCCTACCCACTTCATCTCATGTATCCCAAACTGCTTTGTTTGGAACTTTTTGGTGGGAGAGGGTTTTCTGCCCTTCCTAAGGGTCGCCCAACTCTGCTTTGTATCACTGTAGCAACTTGAGACAGAACTTAACAGAAACATCAGAAACAAGAGAGTCTAGGGGCGAAAAAAAATCTGAAAAAGTAGTTTTATCTAGCAAACTTTTAGTATTCAAACAATCAATAAAAAGGAGAAAACAATTAAAATGGGAAAATTTTAGAGCTGTAAGATGTGGGTATATGAATAGCAAAGTACATAGAAAAGTGTCCACTTTCACTAGCCACCAAGTAAATGAAAATTCAACTCTCAATGAAATTATTTTATCCCAATTCCATTTATAAGTTATTTTTAAAATGTTTGCATCAAATGTTGCCAAGGAGATGGGGCAAATAGAATCCCCATACATGACTTTTGGTCATGTAAAATGTTACTGTAAGTTCAGAAAGTTAGCAGGTTCTTATAAAGTTAAAAATGCAGCTGATTATGTTACAGTAATTGCCTCTTAGATCTATAACTAGTAAAAATAATACACATGTACACACATATGCTTTTATAAGGGTGTTTATACAAGATATTTTATAATAAACCAAAACTTATTGGTAGGAGAACTAGTAAGATGGGATATATGTGTGCAGAGGACTGTTATGCATCCATATAAACTCAGCACAGCTGAATTTCAAAATAACTAAGCTGAGTGCAAGATAGAGCTAAGAATATTTATTGTGTGGTTTCATTTATGTGAAATTCAGAAACAGGGAAAATGAGAGTAGGGATAGAAACCAGAGCAGCATTTGCTCTAGGTGAGAGCATGCTGTTTGGGAAGTTAAGGTCTGAGGGAAATTGCCTTTATGATCAGAGGAGACAGGAAGAGGGGGTTATAAAGTATCAGGGAAATGTCTGTGGTGTTGAAATGTATTAGGTATTAGGAACAAATGGCACATTTTCCAAACTTACCCATTTGTACAATTTAACACCATCTTTTACTGTTTGCAAATTTTCCTTAATTCTAAAGCCAAAGGAATTCATAGAAGAAGAAAACATAGGTTAAATGTTATGAGAGGGAATGTATTTCCTTATATTAGATTTTATCTTCTATGAGGCTATGTGAACATTATGCAAAAGTGGTAAATCTCAGCTCAGGAAACACTATGATTTAGACAACTATTATTGCAACACATTGCATTACAATAATTGTTATGTGTTTGTCATACGAAAAGAAAATCCATGTGTATAACTCATTTAAATACAAGGCTTTAATTTCAAATCTTCTAGTCATCAATCACACACCTTTGGTCAAAGCACATGGTTTATCTGAGTGCAGTGTCCTCTGAACCTGGGAATAGTAATATCCTCCTCATATAGGTTAAATGGTATATTTTTTAATGCAACACCCATGACAAATATTTTACTGGAATAATAAATAGAAAAAAATATATGCAATGGTAGTGATTAATTTGCAATTTTATCATGACTATTGAAACTTCCAATTTTTCAGCAATAAATAACTTTAGTCTTTTTCATTGTTATTCTGACCATTGACTCTGTGTCAGTAATTGAGTACTTTTATGTCATGGGGGCCTCCATGTAACTGTAACGATCATTATGCTGTTTTCTTCCTTTCTTTAAATTATTCCTTACAACTTTTCACTAAAGAATAGGCAGGATATCCTGGAGGATAGGCAGGCACCCAGGCAGTCTTTTTTAAATCTCAGAAGATTTAAGCAAAATCATTTGAATAAGTCACATGCTATTGATACTTCCTCAGGAAGCATCACAAAGAGAGAGGAAAAGCATAAATTCTCTCTACTCAAAGAAAAGTCAGAGAAATATGAGAAGAGAAAATCCAATTCTTCATGAGTAGACAGAAATTGTTGATTTTGATTATCACCTTGACATTGGTAATTTCCTTTGTTTCTTAGATTCTGACTATGAACACTTTTATGGACACTGACAGATATTCTTTAACCACAAAAATTCCATTATTATTATTATTTGTTGTTGTTAACTTGTTTCCCTGGAATACTGTGGTCGTGTCAGGGCATTACCTATGAACTGACTAGATGTTGTATATCTATTTTATTTATGAAAGCTGAAAGTTAGATTTGGATATTATAAGTGCAGAGGGAGTTAGATATATCTGAAAAAACCATGAGAAATCTAATCTATTAAAATCCAGTAAGGTTAGAATGTCCAGATAAAATATAAGATGTTCAGTTGCATTTAAATTTCAGATCAATGACAAATACATTTTAGTGCCTGTCTCATATAATATTTGAATTTTCTATAAATATATCCAATGCAATATTTGAAAAAATACTTTAAGATATGTATTACCCATGAAACATTTTATAAACTGAAAATAATCTTAATATAAGGATATGTATATTCTTCTATATGAGAATCAATTCCCACAGATAAACTTGGAGGATTTTTAGTTGTTCGTTTTCCCTAACGGTTGCTTTCTACTTGGTTTTTTGTTGTTGCTGTTGTTGTTCTTGTTTTTTCAGGAAAGACTTTACTAACTGATTGAGTAAACTAGTAAATGCATAGGATACTTTTTTAAGAGTTAAGGAGAAAGCCATGGACCTCAAGCAGTTCCTAGCTCCTATCACCAGGTCTGAAGATTGAAACATCAGCTACATCTTTGCATACTTTTTCTATCCTGTGTGCTCTAATGGTTAGCCCCACATAGAAGCATATAAATGTTGCATCAGAATGGTCAAAAATGACCAAAGATATCCTTCGCAAAATAAGAAGAGTGGGCAGAGTATCACTATCTCTTTAAGATCCTTATAGCAATTCTTTTTGATAAGTACCCAGAAGTTGTAAATTGGACCATATGAGAAACTGCTAATCAACAGATATCAAATTTCAGTAATGGAAGATGAATAAGTTCTAGAGAGGAGCATCATTGTGCCTATAATTAAGAATGCTAGTCTATTCAGCCATAAATCTTTTAATGGAACAGATCTCATATTATATATTCTTAAGGAGAAAATTAAAATTAAAAATGAATGGGTAGGGTAAAATAATCTGGAAATTTAAAAGAAAATAATAAAAGACACTGAAAACGAAGATACACTCAATAAATGTTAGACTAATCCTTAGCAGAACTGAAGACTTCAAAATGGTGATTGGTAGCAGATGTTTGAATTCCTTTGCCTAATTCAGCGTGTCTCACATTCTACAAGAAAACCCATGAAAGCAGATCAGGCAACACTTGGCTCTTCTCTGTGAAAGAGGAAAAGGCCTGAAAGCTGAATGGGACACAGTAGAGAAACAGCAGACAATGCCATCTAGGAAAAAGAAATAGACTGGCTCCACAAAGTGCAGTATTGCCTTCCATCCTTAAACGCATTTTTGGATCAGTCTAGTTTTTTGGTTTAACAGGACAGAAACTCTGTAGTATCTGAATAAGAAAATAGAACCTAGGAAGAAATGTTTATTTTTTAGGTTTTTGTTAGTTCAACTGGTATTTCTGAATATCAGCAGGGACACAGAGGGCAAGAGGAAGAAAAAAAAAAAAATGTTGGGCTGAGTGTATGCTGAGTGAGGTGATGTTAAGTAGAAAGGTGATGCGGACCTGAATGTGGAATGCACTGAATATGAGGCTAAATATTTTTTTTTTCAATTATTCTAAAAATATATCACAGATTACAAATTTGACTACTAAAAAAAGTATTAAAGACTGTTATTTGTCTATCAGCCAAAGACCTGGAGATCAAAATGATACAGTCATCAAAGACAGTGTTAATGAAAGCTTGACCTAAGGAAGTAGGTGTGTGTAGAATGGCAAAGTATTATTGAAACTGGCAAATAATAAAATGTGGAATTTTGAAAGAGAAATTTAGAGGATGGATATAATATTAGTGATTTAAAGTGGTTCATTTATTTATTTATTTATTTTTGTCATTTAAAAAGTGTATGTAACCAGCAACACATTAAATTTCAGCAGAAATAGAGGAGCTGGTATTATTTGGAAGCATGATTCTTGGAAATCTTACCCTAGGCATTGCCCGTGCCATCTACTGGCAATCCTAGGAAATACAATTTTTAAAAACTGTAACAATTTCTCCTTTCTTGCTCAAACAGATGACTCTCCAAACTTTACCATGGCTCACGGAAATTTCACCCGAGTCACCGAATTTATTCTCACAGGAGTCTCAGAACGTCCAGACCTTCAGATCCCACTCTTCTTTGTCTTCCTGGTCATCTATGGACTGACCGTGACAGGCAACCTAAGCATCATTGCCCTCATCAGTGTGGACTCTAGACTTCAGACCCCCCATGTATTTCTTCCTCCGGCACTTGGCCATCATCAATCTTGGCAATTCAACTGTCATTGCTCCTAAAATGCTGGTCAATTTCTTAGTAAAGAAACAC